TCAGGGATGTTGTCCTGTAGTTTTCTTTTTTTGTGGTGTCTTTATCTGGTTTTGGCTTCAAGGTAATGCTGGCTTCATAGAATTTGGGTTTTCTTTTCTCTTCTATTTTTTGGAAAGTTTGAAAAGAATAGGTATTAACTCTTTAAATGTTTGGTAGAATTCACCTATGAAGCCATCTGGCCTTGAACTTTTATTTGTTCGGAGTTTTTTGATTGCTGATTCAGTTTCATTGCTGATGTTCAGTCTGTTCACATTTTATATTTCTTCCTGCTTCAGTTTTGTTAGGTTATATGTTTCTAGGTATTTATCCATTTCTTCTAGGTTGTCCAATTTTTGGCATGTAATTTTTCATAATATTTTCTTACAATCATTTGTATTTCTGTGGTGTCTGGTTGTTATTTCTTTCATTTCTGATTTTGTTTATTTGAGTCCCCCCTCTTTTTTTTTTTTTTTTTTAATGATTCTGGCTACAGGTTTATCAATTTTGTTGATCTTTTCAAAGAACAAGCTCCTGGTTTCTTTAGTCTGTTCTATTGGTTTGTTGTTGTTGTTGTTGTTGTGTTTTTAGTTTCTATATCATTTATTTCTGCTCTAAACTTCATTTTATCCTTCCTTCTGCTGGTTTTGAGTTTTGTTTTTTTTTTCTCTTTCTAGTAAATAAAGGTTAGGTTGTTTATTTGAGAATTTTCTTGCTTCTTGAGGTAGGCCTGTATTGCTATAAACTTCTCTCTTAGAACTATCTTTGCCACATCCTAAAGTTTTTGGACTGTTATGTTTTCATTTTCATTTGTTTCCATGTATTTTTTAATTTCTTCTTTAATTTCTTGGTTCATTGTTTAGTAGCATGTTATTTAAACCTCCATATATTTGTCCTCTTTCCAGATTTTTTTCTTGTGGTTGATTTCTAGTTTCATAGAGTTGTGGTCAGAAAAAATACATGGTATGACTTCAATCTTTTTGAATTTGTTGAAACTTATTTTGTGGCCTAATATGTGATCTAGTCTGAAGAATGTTCCATGTTCACTTGAAAAGAATATGTATTCTGCTGTTTTAGGATGGAATGTTCTGAACATATTTGTTAAATCCATCCAGTCCAGTGTGTTATTCAAAGCCATTGTTTTCTTGTTGATTTTCAGTCAACATAGTTGACTCTTGCCTTCAGTCAGGTCATCTGCAGTGGCTCTCTTTGCCTGTTGGGGGCAGTGTTTGGTCCCTGAGGTGTTAGTGGGCTAGTCTGGGACTGCCTTGGGCTTGAGTTGAGTCAGACCAGGCATTTACCAGAAATGCAGTAGCACCATACTTTAGGGTGCTTTCCCTGTGTTGTTCCCTGAGAAGCTTTTGGTGGGCAGGGCCTAGAATCAGAAAAGCTGTCTGTCCCCCAGTCCACTGCTGAAGCCACAGTCTGACTGATGTGTGTGGTTATCTTTCCTTCTCCTCATGGCAGGAGTCACTTTGGAATGGTGCTAGCCCCTGTTGGGGCTGTTTGCACATTGCCAGGCTTGTGGCCCTGATTTGAATGGGCTCTGGCCAAGGGCATATTGGAGGGGGAAGATCCAAATGTGCTGGGGGGTGGGGCACACAGTGACTGCAGGGTTCGTGCATCAGGGAGGGGGGATGTGCAACCATTGCTGAGACCAGGGCCAGCTGTTTAGATCCACAAAGTATGTGTGGGCAGGGTGTGCAATTTTAACAAGGTGCATGCCTGTCCTCCATGGGAGGGGATCCACTGTTGCAGCAGCTAGAATGAGGTTTTGAAAAGTATGCAGGTAGTAAGGTATGATGTTTGCAAGGTTTATCCTGGTCTTCTGAGGGAGGGGACTCATATAGCTGGGACTGAGGCAAGAGTGAGTGGAAAGGGTGGATCTACGGCGGGGGGTGGGGATGGGAGTGTAGGCGGGTGGGGGTGGTAGCAAGTTAGGTAGTGAGTATCAGCACCAGGCTGTTTTTCACAGGTTGCTGAGTGTTTATGCTTTCGGACGGGGGAGGGAAATGGTGCCTTCCAGCTCCTTTGTTCCTGAAGAGTCTCCCAGGGATCTCTGTCCCTCTGGGACATGCTCTGAGATTAGTAAACAACTTTCCTTCCTGTATGCCCCAGACATATTTCAAACTGCTGCTTCTATGCTCTATCTCCATAGACTGTTGTGCTGTCTCTTTAAGGGTGGGGACTCAGAAAATAACCCAAAGCCTAGCAGAACAAGCTCTTCCAGAAGCAAGCTTGATCATTTTTAACATTTCAGACTTTAAGTCACTCTGGTTGTAAGAAATCAAGAAATTCAGCCCCTCTGGTTTTCAAAGCCAAATGTTACATGTAGGGATTCATCTTCTCTGTGTGGGCTCCCCAGTGTGATCATCTTTTTCTCTCCCTTTTCCATGCCTGTGGGTCCCTCCCTCCAGTGGACAGTCCCATGGTCTGTTTAGCTCCCCACTGTGTCTCTGCCCTTCCTACCCTCTTTGATGTGGCCTCTTCTCTAAATTTAGTTGTGGAGTTTGTTCTTCTAGTCTTTGGGTTATTTTCTGGGTTATTTACACTGATATAAGTGTTATCTAGTGGTATCATTGGGAGGATGTGGGCTTAGGGTCCTCCTACTCCTTCATCTTCCCAGCCACCAATTCACCAGGCTTCTTTTTTCTGCTTCAAAGGCTGTTGTGCCCAAGCTGTGGCGGCAACCTCCCTGCCATATTGGGATTCATTGCCAACACAGGGATGGCAGAGAGAAAATTTGGAAAGAGTTTGGATCTTTGATAATAGTGCGGAATATCTGCTCCAACACTAGCACCTCCTACCTCTAGGCTTCTGATTTGGTATGATAGAAAGTGCCAGTGTTGTTTTAACTGGTTTTAGTTGGAGATTTTGTTCTTTCAGGGGCAGGCCTTCTCACTGATGAACATGGTATTTGATATCCTTTTTGATTTTTGGAGCAGGCTGGGTCATCATTTCCCTGAATTTGTGCCCGGATGTAGTGGAATAAAACTGAGTCAGGAGGGATGGGCATCTGAAGCATCCAGATGAGGAAAAAAGTGTTCACATGAGTTCAAGTCAATTTCCAAGAAGCTTAGAGATTCAAAGCCAAGGAAAATCCTAACATCCAAGTACACCTGAAGCTGAAAATAAAACATAAAACACAGAAGATCAGAAGTCCCTGGATGGGATAGCAGAAGTAAGAGTTGGGTCAAGTGAGATAATTAAGTGTATTTCCATGAAAAAGATAGGATGCCCAAGGCTGGTAGTCATTGGATGCTTTCTTGCCCCCTAAGGAGTGTGTGATCTTGGCTTAAAAGCACAACTTCAGAGAGATAAATGAGTCTTCTTTCTAACATCCCAGCATCTTTTCAATTCCCCTTTCCCTGAGCTCTGAACTACAGAAGGCATCTTGTGTTAAGAAGCGGATTTCTAGGTTTCTGAATGAAAAGTTTTGCTATGTGATTTTCTACAGAATAGCTCTTATTCTAAAATCACCAGCCAAAGCAACATTCTGTTCAGAAACTGGTAAAAATATGATTAGGGAATGTTCATATACTGTGCTTCATATAGTCAAATTAAGAAGTCTTTCCCAAGAGCCTTTTATGAGTTTGGCACTGGACCAGTTACCATCTTTCAAGGATAACACCCAGCGCCATATTGTACAGGAACCTTATAAAATTCACATCAAAATATAGCAAAGGGCACACTTTCTTTTTCTGTCAAGCTAGCTTTTCCCTTTAAAGGCAATCTTTATCTGTCAGAATCAGTAGAATCTGTTTCTCTAATACAACATGAAATACCTATCTATGATGTTTCTCTTCCAACAAGTAGATGTCAGTAAGGGGTTAGCCAGTCTCTCTACAGGACAGAGCAAAAACACTCACCTGGAAACAAATTATATGTATTTCCTAGTCATTTGTCAAGGCTTCCTGAAACATCTGAATTTATGCATCAGCTACTGTATCAGTCAGGACTATTAAGTATAAGCAACAGTAATAACTAACTACTCTAAGCAGAAGATTTATGGAAAGCTTATTGGCAGCTGTCAGAATCTCTGAAAATGATACAAAACCAAGGTTAGAAACTATGTAGCCAATAACAGTTCCCCAAATGACACTGAAGAACTGGTCTAGATACCACAGCACTGACTTGGTCATAGTTACCACAGTTTACTCTGCAGACACCATTAACACTGATCCGTGGCACTATCTTTAGATCTGCAGTGTAGCTTACCAATGATGGAACCTTTCTGCTGATGGCACCCTCTGCAGAATAGACTCTGTAGTTAGTGGGTTTTGCACTACTAATACATGATTCAAAATCTAGGATGTGTATATGTGATTGGGGGAGAAGGGGCTACATCCCTGAGCCTCAGTTGCAAGAAAGGCCAGCAAAACAAGCATTTGAAATTTTCTTTTGTTATAATAGAAAATGGGATTTGTCTCATTAGGTAGGGATCTCCTAAACCAGTGATTTAAGGAGTCATTTAGTCATGCCTGTAGACACTTTTTTTTTTTTAATTGTTTATGCTTTGGTTTGTAAGACATCTGGTATTTTTTCCAGTCAATCTCTAAATCCTTATACCAGTAAAGAGCTGAGTATTTGTCCCTTTGAGAGTTCTAATAGAGAATATGCACCTACTGTGGCCAAAACTTGGATTTGAACCAAGTCTACCTGACTGTAAAGTTTGTGACTTTTCACTGGAACAGTTTATAGTATTTTACATGTACATAGGCTGCTGGAAATATTTTTGGCTACCATAGTTTGTTCCTGGATTGCTAAATTCTTAGATCTTTCATTGCTAGTCCATATCCTGTTATTAACTAGGTAGACTTGATCAAATTACCTATCTTCTTTTTGTCTTCTTTTGCTCATCTATAAAGTGTAGATAATTATTCCTTTCACAGAGTTTGCTGTGAAAATTAATGAATGCATAAGAAGCACTCAGAATAGTGTCTAGAATGTAATAAATACTCAAAGAATGTTGACTATTATTATTTTCTTAAAATCTTGATTTTCATCTTTTTTTTTTTCATAGTGAAAATTTCTCTTCAAATAGAATCTGCACTGAAAACCCAAAATGGAAACTGAGTAATAGCAGAGCTGCTTTGGGAGGTAAGATGGGAGGGAGTCCTCATTTCACTGTCTCAGGTCTCCTTTAAGGCATGTCCAATAGATGATAATAGTTCAGATTTGTCAAACTTTTACTCTGTACCAGGTTCTGTGCTCAGTTTGCTTGCGTTTTTTCACTTATAAGTACAGTGACCCTGTGGGGTAGGTATTGTCTCCATATACAGATTTGCTTATATATGGGTGATGAAACTGGGGCTTCTTGAATATCAGTAACCTGCAAAGAGTCACACATCCAGTAACTGTCAAAGTCAAGACGGGAGCCAGATCTGCCTGATGGCCCTGAATTAAATGTCCTTAACCATCTCATTGCACTGCCTACCCTTATAGTTCAGATATCTGGTTTTAAAACCACTGTTTTGATGAATCGGGTCATTCTTGCACCTTGCAATGATGAAATATTGGTTGGACTCCTGGATTTTAACAAGGAATCAATTTGGAGAACACTTATTTTTTAATGTAAATTTGGAAATCTCTATAGTATTAAATTATGTGAGATATGAATCCAAAGAAGCTGGATCCACTGGGATGAGTATAAGTAGTAGGCATGGAAGTGAAACAAACACTATGCATGATTATAAAAGATATCTAATTAACAAAGAAGCAATAAAATGCTCAGTTTAGAGGAGTAAAATTTTATTGAAGCTTATTTTTGGGGGGTCAGTGTTCAGCAGCATAAAAACCACAGGAAGCTACTAGAAACTTTTGTGTGAAGAAATTTCTATTTGTCTGAAAGCCAGAAACTTTGTGATATCTGGTGATGGGCAACCTCCTGCTCAGAGCAAATGTTTTCATGGTATTCCCCTTGATAATCATTTATCTCCTTTCTATAATGAATCCTTCAGCAAGAATGGACTCCCTTAATCCTAGGTGTTGCCATCTTGTATTCTCTTTCCCACTGATACCTGGAAACTTGTCAGGGGAAGGCACTGTTTTTCCTTTACTCCTCCTTCCTCCTGCTACTTATGTGGCAGGAAAGAAACTCCCAGATTTCCTGCATCATAAAGATCACAAAGTGTATGGCCATCTCCCATCTCCCTGACCCAGGCCTAAAGGGAGAACTGGAAGAAATTGTTGGAAGAAATTGTTTCAGGACCATGGACAGAGTAAACAAGATGTTCATTGTGCCAGGAGAAAAGATCTTTTAAGAGACACAAGTTACTTAAAGAAGATAGCTAGTGGAATAAGTGCTGTGATCTTACTCTCCTTTGGCAACTGCTGGGGATACCCTTTGGGTAAATCCAAGTGGAAGCCAGAAAGTACCAAAAGCTGTTGATGTAGCTCATATGAGTCAGCCTCTGAAGGCAGCAATCAAGAAGATGGGTAAAAAATAGACTGAATGAAGGAATGTGTGTGCATGCATACCGTACACTCTTAGTGAAAATCCACTTCATGCCCGTTATTAGTGCAAAACCCACTCCTTGGCTACAATAAAATAATTTTTTTTTTTATTTTCAGTGGAGCTGGCCTTGGCAAAAAGTTTCTTGCATTTCATTGCAATTAGTTATAGCTCTAAATCAGCCAGGTAGAAAAATTGAAAAGTAAGCTAATTTATGTCTCAAAGTTCGCAAATAATTGTATCAGATGCAATTTTGGAACAAAAATCTCAGTAGTCTCCCAAGAGACAGTTTTTGTAATAACATAATTAAAGCTGGAATTCATAGGTACTGGAGCAAATGATCAGCAATATATTATCCCTCTAGTCCTTCAGCATGGATGGTTTTCAGACTGACCTATACCTTTTGCATAGATTGGGTACATTTTTCTTCCACATACTAACTTTAGTGATCTACAGTGGGTCTAGCTGTATAGTGAACCAGTGAATTTTCATCATGAGGAGTAGTCCAGCTAATTTAAATGCACTTCCAAGGGAATTCAAGCACATTGTCCCTAAGGCTGGGAAAATGTGTTCCTTTCTGGATATCATGTATATATAGCTGCAGGTTTGCACTGAAGGAGATTTTCAAGGTTCCTGCTAAAGGGACCTAAGTTTCAAAAGTTACATAATTACAGTGAATTCAGCTTCACTATCCCTGAAGCTTTTAACATTTTCCAGTTTTTAAAATGGTCCTTAATGGATGTGCATGGAACTTGTTACATGGATTATGAGATAACCTTGCCCCTGACTTTGAGGGTGTCAGGGATAATTTGGTGACTTGTTTATTGTGGTGACTATAATGTAAGTTATCATATTCCCTGAAACCATGCCCTCCCTGGTCAACTCTTCGAGGGAGACTGAACCAAGGGGAATTCTCAAAGGACTTTCAGATCTGCCTTCCAGCTCAGACTCCCAGCTTTTAGATAATATAGGCATCTCACCAGGCTCCAGTCCCTGAAGGACATAACCCTGCTCATTACAACCAGTAGCACTATATGTGGTCAGAAACAGGAAAGGGACTCTTTGACCCAGAGGAGCTGATCTATCAGAGAAGTTCAAATAGGAAGTACAAGGTATTTGTTACAACAGCACCCCAACTTCTCAGAACCAGCTTTCTTAGTCTATTTGGGCTGCTATAACAAAATACCATAGATTGGGTAGCTCAGAAACAACAGTGAGAAGTAACTGTGACAAAAATGTCTTTCTCACTGTTCTAGAGGCTGGAAGTCCAAGATCAAACACCTGTTATGTTAAGTAATTATTTGTTAAGATTTCAGGTGTTTATAGCTAAATAAATTCTTAAATTTCCATGAGTCTCATAAGATCACTTATTCTTTACTTTAAAAAAAAGTCACATAAAGATGATTGTGCACCCCAAATGATCACTTCTACTAACTGTAAGAAATATTTCATTGATAAATATCAATGTAATTGACAATTTACATTGAAAAAAATTTTTTTGGTGTTGAAGGCTATCTCAACGTCTCCCAACTGATAGAAGATGACTACAGTAAGAGTTTTTCCACAGGCATATTTTGGAAATTTCATTGATATGTACCCCTTTATGAATGAATAAAATGGTGATAAATGTAACTATAGAATTTACCAAAACAAAGTTAGAAATATCCAAGAAACAGTTAGATACTTGAGAAGGAAATGAACAGAGATATAATCCCTAGGCATATGGGGACTGAGAGACAACAATCTAAAAAAAAATCTAATATTGGTCATTGATTTGAGAGTTGCTTTTTTGGATATCCGTATGTTAATGCACCTGGCCATTGTGGTATGTAATAAAATGAGGGACTAAAACTCTTTGGACTATATGGTCATTTGAGTGCTTTGGTTTTAATTAATCAGATTAAAAAGTACATAATTTATTTATGACATGTTATGACCTGTGCTTATAACAAAAGCACCATTTCCCAAACAATATATTAAGAATAAAATAAATGATTAGAATATTTTGACCATTAGTGTACTTAAAATTATTTCTCCAAGCTTTATTTACATTTTAATTTGATAATGAACAAATAAGGAAAGCAGACCTATGCTGCACCTGCTAAGGAAGTCTTAACTGTGAGCACCAAGACATGTTGTTCAGTCAGCTGCAGCTGCCAAGAATATGGGGATAGAAATGATTCTCTTTGACTTTAAGTCTGGTTTATTTTGCTTCTATCTCCAAACATGAGTATGCTCCACAGTTGGATGTAATTTTTCTACAGAATGTCTACATTGTGCCCTATGTGCTATGGCTCCTCGCCATCTTTACTACTCCGTTGTTTACCAAAGCTGTAACATGAGGCTGCCTTTTTGGTTTTGCCCAGTGGAAACTCAGGTATCACATTCTGATATTTATTGGGATTCTAATAACAAATGCCTACGGGAAATTGAATGCTTGAGTGACAATATTATTTTATTCCTTTAAATGGATTCAGCTTTTCATCTCTTCATTGTTTTTATGTAAGGCAGGAGAACAAAGAGGGAAAGAGAGAGACAGAGACAAAGAGAGAGAAAGAGGGAGAGAAAAGTGAAATAATTAGGAGGGAGAAAGCCAGTTTTATTCCCTTGTGAGCAAGTGAACTTGGGAAATGTCAGAAACGGAGCCCCACTGTCCTCATCTGAGAAATGGAGAATATTGTAGTTACCTCAGAGTGGTTGTTTAGAAACATTGGTATCATGTATTCAATATAGAAGGCTCAAAATGGGCACTCAAAAATTAATCACTTCCTTTCTCTCTCCTGTGAGGGGCCAAAATGCACACAAGCAGACAATACTTACCGTCCTTCGGTTTCAGCTGCCTCAACTACAGGGTGTGTATTCTGGGTGAGTGAAAGTGACCCAGTGTTCACGTGTCACCAGGCAGCATATAATCAGGCTCAGACTGCAAGGCTGTTTCTATTTTAGGCCTAAATTTTCTGTTAAATCTTTACCATTTTTTGGTTTGCATGACTAATACAACTTCCGGCAATATACATGACTGAAGCGTAGTAACGAGAGAGAGAGAGAGAGAGAGAGAGAGATTGAGTATAACTGGGTATTGAGAGAGGATTCTGAGTTTCCATTGGATTCTCATGTTCTGTCTTCATGAATACACGCATATATTTAATTGCAGTCTTGTCTGCTCTATGTTTTAATCTTTTTATATCACAAAGTTCAGCTAACCTTTATAGATCACTTTCTACTTCCACATGGGTAAAAGCCACTTCACAAAGCCCTGGAAATGCATACTCTTTCATTTTTCTCTCAGTTTATAGTATATTGAGATCAAGCTTGAATAAAAGTAGCTAAAATTGAACTTCATTCATTCATTTACTCAGGCTAGCTAGCCTTTTCCTGCCTACTTTATTTTGCAGTCAGACATGCTATCGACTGTATCCTGTCAGGGGCAAATGTTTTTAAACTAAGTCAGTTATGTATAAATTACATTATTTAAATGTATTTTCTTTTTACTAAAAACGACTGTTTTACCCGTTGATATCCTATTAAGGCACTCATTTTTAAGAAATTATTTTAAAGAAAACTATTGTAAGGATCATAGTTTTCAAGATAGAAAATAACTTTGTGGGGGCGCCTGGGTGGCTCAGTCGGTTAGGCGACTGCCTTC